TTGTATAGTTTGAGCACAAAGCCGGTCATTGGTTACATTACATACTCCTTTAAAACAAAAAGAAAAGAAAGTTGAGGATATCATTATTATTTTAAATAGTCGCTCGCAACCAACTAATTTAAAACAACCCTGAATTAAAAAATTCAAAGAGCTCGTGCGTGATCTAGATTCTAGAGATATAAAATAGTTAGCTTAATTAAGCACTAAACGAGGTTAGATAGATCCACATCCACTAGCATCCACGACAACGTCATCGACTCACCAAAATAATATTGAAAATAAAGAGCTTGTTGTAGTATTAATCTACACTTTTAAAATATTAGTCTTAACTTTAACAATAAAAGTTTGGAAAAATTGTCATATAACTCTTTTTAGTCTCTTACGTTTTTGCTATGTCTGAATCACTTGAAACTATAACTCCACTTCTACGGTTCTACCTTACTTTTTTTCGATAAACAATCCACTTAATGTATGGGTTATGAATGGTTGTGGAGTTTTACTTTATAGATTCCGGTTTTTTTATTTTTTTGAAGGCTTGGAAAGTAAAATAGAAACGTTTTTTAAGACCAATTTTATTTTTTTAATCTTGATTGGAGATTATTTGAGTTTCTTAAAAACAAAACTACACTTAAATTGCCATTTAAAGCCTTTTCAAGGTACATATATATATTTTTTTTTTTGCGATTTCTTCTTCTAAACTTTCTCTCTTAAACCCCTACTCCCTCTATTTTCACAAAAATATCATTAGCCTTTTTTCATACTTATTAAGAAATATATAAAAATTTCAATTCTATTATTTATTAATATAATAGATATACTCCCTTGTTAAGCTCAAATAATAGAGATAAAATTAAGAATTAGTTTTTAAAATTACATGAAAACACAAACTAATAGTTGGCCCAAAAAACATAATAACACTTTTATAAACATATAAAATATATAAAACGCGATCGAGAGTATAATAATCAATCAAAATTAAAATGACCCATAGAAATCTTAGGTCTGAATGGTAGGATAAGCTGATATGGAAAGCCATGGAAGGGTTTCTTGGGTGAAAAGCATTTTTTAATCAAAGTTTTTGTTTGTTTGGTTGGGAACTTCCCAGTTCCCACTGCTAAACTAGAGTTGGTAGACTCTAGAAATATTACTCTATCTTGATCATCAATTCAAGCTCCTTATTTAAATCAGAGCTAAAGACAGAGATATACAATACAATAGGACAAAAATGGAGAAACCCCAAAAATCACGGGTCAAGCTGCGACAACATAAAACGTAACTAAGTAATTTTGCATATTGATAGTAAAATATGAGTTGGAAGATAAGTCTTTTGTAGTCTCCTAGAACAACATGCATGATGCATGTCAGTGAAAGAGGAAACTGCTATTGTGATTCACATTATTTTAGCTCTCAACTACTACCACCATGTCCGCCAGGCCCGCCACACCATCGGTCCATGCATGTGGGTGGATGCATCCACATTGTACGATTACTAAACAAGACAAAAATATATGTTTACCCATTCTTTATGGCTACGTCTTTTGAAGTTAATTAAAGTCTATTCGGCAAAAGACTGGAAAAGCCAATCTCGGAATTCATTTTTCTTAAATGTGTAGCTGACAAAAAAAAAGTTAAGTATGAAAATGTTATGGGCAAAGAGTCAAAGACTATAAAGAAGAATATATATATACACTCTTTTCGCAGACCTTAATATGTAGTATATAGGAAGGAGGAAAGAGTAGTGTGGATTTAGTTCTTGAATAGAAAAAATGATTAGAGGCCAACCTTACATTTGGAGTGGGGTTGAAGCTCAACGGGAGAGAGACGCAATTAAGCCAGAGTTCCAAATCCGACTGATCCGTCGACTTACGTCATGATCACGAGACAACAACTGATTACGTACAACTCAGAATTTCTTATTCAATGTTACATAATCCATGTTTCAAGATTGGACCTATCAGATCGGTCGGATTGTTTGAGTCGAGAAATATATAGAGATCAATTGCATTGTCTTTAATGGTGCGGTTCGTCAACTCTTGACAAATGACAAGCTTGAAGTTGATACTTCTTAGTACAAGTGCATTTAATACTTCCGCGAGCGATTCAGTTGGCAAGGTTGATGAATTAACGAATCGTAAAACCAACTCAACACAAACATACTTTAAATTATGTCTGATCATAAATTAGAAGTACCACAAAAAACTCTTCGTCTGAATAAAAACAATGTATCCATTTGCTCACATGGAAGTGGATGTAAATTGAAGCTATCATCATTAAACATTAATATGATATGAAATAATTTTCTCTTGTCGATCAAATAAAAAAATGCCACCACAAAATGGGGATAACGTAAAGACTCATACTAGTAAAAGTTCTCTTAATAAAAAAATAGTAAAAACGTTGGTCACGTGGTTTCATCAATGTTTTGTTTTGATTCCTTCTTTCACCGTAGTTTCTAACTAAACCGCCGTCGAAACTCTCGTTTCTTCCGATCTTTCAATGGCGAATCTCAAATCTCACTTCTTGATCACTACTCTGCTACCTCTTCTTTTACTTCACTTTACCACTTTCTCCTTTGCTCAGACGCTCTTCGTGTTCGGTGATGGACTCTACGACGCAGGAAACAAACAGTATCTCTCTCAGAACAGAGTTAACGCAAGCTTTCCTCCTTATGGAGTCACTCTAGGACAAGCCACGGGACGTTGGTCCGATGGTTCTATCGTTCCTGATTATCTTGGTATATTATACTGATCACTTCAAGAATCTATGACTATGGTTATGGTTGTTGTTGTTTTTTTATTCATTTGTGTATTAGAATTTGAATTTTGATCCTTTTGTTTTTTGGTTCTTCGAAGCTAATTTCATGGGAATTCCTCATATCTCACCAATTCTCCAAACCACGGCGGATTTTTCTCACGGTGCTAACTTTGCCACCGCCGACGCCACCGTTCTAGGCTCTCCTCCGGAGACGGTCAGCTTTTCACCTTTTTTGCCGATAATTCCAATTTTTCCCTTACTTTCATGCTTGTAACTTTGGAATCAAGTTAGTAGTAGCTAGGTCAAATCTTGAACTGAGTTATAATTTTGTGGTCTCTCAAATTGCGAAATCAAATATTATTAGTGATGAAGTGTAGGGACTTGGTAAAAAGGTTCTTGATAGTAGAAATTAGCTTTTTAAGGACTTTTAGGTTAAAAAAGGATAATTTGAATGTTTTGTAACAGATGACTCTGTCACAACAAGTGAGGCAATTCTCTGAAAACAAGAACAAATGGATAAACCAAACAGTTTCTGAAGCTATCTACTTGTTCAACATTGGCTCTGATGATTACTTGAAGTATGCTACGAATAATCCAAGTCCCTCGGATGATATGAAACAAGCTTTTGTGGATCAAGTCATCACTACCATAGAAGCAGAGATAAAGGTTAAAACTCTCAGAAGCTACATCTTTGATCTGTCTTTTCCCCTCTATATTTGTTTTCATCTGTTTGATTTTACAGGTGGTTTATGGAGCTGGAGGGAGGAAATTTGCGTTCCAGAACTTGGCACCGTTGGGTTGCTTACCGGCCGTGAAACAAGCAAGCGGAAACCTTCAAGAATGCGTGAGTTTGCCTTCTGAAATGGCAGCTTTGCATAACAAGAATCTGTTGCAGCTCTTGGTTGAACTCTCACGAGAACTCAGTGGTTTCCAGTACTCGTATTACGACTTTTTCAGCTCGGTCCAAAACAGAGTTTTCAAGTCTAGCACTTACAGTAAGTCTTGTACGATGTATCCATATCATCCTCAATCACCATGACCATTGATAAAAGTTTCTTGACGTTTATATTGTCTTTTGCAGCATTCAAGTCAGGAACCGCTGCTTGTTGTGGAACTGGCTCCCTCAACGGGACCGATTGCTCGGTCAGCAATGTATGCACCATTACTGAAGAGTACATATTCTTCGATGGTAAGCATTTAACGCAAGCAGCGAACCTTCAGGTCGGGCATGCCATGTGGGGAGCTGATCCGGAAGTGATTGGACCGAACAATCTCAAGGAGCTAATGGTTCGTCCTATGGACATGACAGTCATCTTAGCTGATATACAAGAAGCTATGGCTGCCATGAGACCGAGACAGAGCAAAATTGAGAGTCTCTATGATATCAAGAAGATGGAATCAGAGATGCAGAATCACTGGCTTTATCAAGTTACCGAAGCACACTCCTTTATGATATAAAATTGTGTTCAAGAGCTACTGAAAGACTTTTGGGCTTGACTCGTAATAAACTAATATTGATACTCCATCACAATAGTCTGATCTAACATTGTCGTCAACGAATGATATAAAACCAGAGATTTTAACTAGCCACTATAAATAAGAAGGAACTAGACAAGGAAACTGAAACATGAGATTCTGTTCAGAACTACACAATCTCCCTTAGTTCCACTGGAATTATCCGCTTTACAAAGAAACGAGAATCCTTAAAGATCCAAACTTGTGGACGTTGATCAGAAAACATGAAAGAGAACCGAGTCCTTAAGATTTCAAAACAACAAACTACAAGCTACAGAACACACAAAACCATTCAAGAAACAGCGATTTGAACAGTCTTAGGTTTCGGGGGCTGAGGCGGTAACTTCCCAACGGTGACAGTCAAAACCCCATCTTGATACTTAGCCGTAACGGCAGCCACGTCAGCATCTTCCGGTAAGCGGAACTTCTTGACAAGATTCTGAGCAAGTCTCCTCTCGAGTCTAATGTACTTAGTAGACCCTTCTTCACTCCCATCATCATCTCTCTTCCTCTTCCCGTTACTCTTTATCACCAAAGTCCTCTCTTCCTCCACAGTCACCTATCACCACCACAAAAATCCAACAAAATCACTAAAATCCCTAATTTCACAACCAATTTAACATTTCTATTGGATTGTTATATAAATACCTGGATATCGGATTTGGAGACTCCAGGGATGTCAAGGTAAAATATGTATTCTTTGGAAGATTCCAAAATGTCGATTGGGATGTTGTTACTACTGTCTCGAGACTCGTGATTACCTTCGCCGGAACGGGAAATCGGGAGAATTAGCTTCTCGATCGTCTCCGGCAAGCCGAACAAGTGGTTAATCGCTACAGCAGTCATTTTTCTCCGATCAATATCTGCCGGGAAGGAAAAAAAAAACACAAGTCAAAATCCACGATTCTGGAACTTTTCCCGGGAAAAATTAATATCAGAGTAGAGAAAATTTTACCTGGAAACTAAAGATCAAGCCTTTCTAACTGAATCGTCTTCGTGTTCTCGATTTGTTGCGGTTGATAATATCGCTCCATTGTTATATATCTGAGGACAGACACACACACCAGTAAGCTAGAAAGTTCCAGAGACAAATTTCTAGAAGTAACTAGTGTGATCTTGAGCTGTTTCAAAAATCAAATTATCCACGTCATCGTTAACCTCTTATTATTGGGCCTTCACAGTTATTGCAGGCCTTAGCCCACTGGACTTTAATTATGTCCTTTCGGTTTGAGCCTTGAGCCAGCCTACCTAACCAAAACCAATGGACAGAAATTTTGAAATCCGTCAGATGTGTATATTCAATATTCCCTAATTAAGATGGCAAAAGAATAAATTCCTCATATCAATATGTCAATTTACCATAATACCAATTCGAATATTCACGGTTCTGATATCGCTTTCTCTCGTTTATTAAAAGAAAGAGTTAAAGGGTGTTTTCGTCAATTTATATATCCATCGGGTCAATAACGGAGATTTACCTATCCGGTGACCTTATCCCCTTCGCCGGTGAACCAATCTCAGATCCAATTTTTCTGCCAAAATCGTCAGATCCGAATCTGAAAATTCAAGCAATTTGATCAATTTCTATGGAGGAAGACGACGAGGTTCAGTCAATTCCATCTCCGGGAGATTCTTCCCTTTCACCACAAGCTCCTTCCTCTCCGCCAATTTTGCCAACAAACGACGTGACGGTCGCCGTCGTGAAGAAACCAACAGGTGCGGTTTCGTCTCAATCTCCGTCGAGGAACGCTTTGGCGTTAGTGGTTCATACTCCAGCTGTAACCGGTGGTGGTAGCGGTAACAGAAACGGACGAGGAGGAAGCGGTGGTGGTGGCGGAGGAAGAGACGATTGTTGGAGCGAAGAAGCTACCAAGGTTCTAATCGACGCTTGGGGAGATCGGTTCTCTGAACCAGGTAAAGGAACTTTGAAGCAACAACATTGGAAAGAAGTAGCTGAGATTGTGAACAAGAGTCGTCAATGCAAATATCCTAAAACTGATATACAGTGTAAGAACAGGATTGACACTGTGAAGAAGAAGTATAAGCAAGAGAAGGCTAAGGTTGCTTCTGGTGATGGACCTAGTAAATGGGTCTTCTTCAAGAAGCTTGAGAGTTTGATTGGTGGTACTACCACAATCGCTACTGCTTCGAAAGCTTCTGAGAAGGCTCCTATGGGAGTGAATAGCCGTTCCAATCTGTATAAACGGCAAGCTAAAGGGACGCAGATTCTGCAACATCAACAACAAGGAGGGGATTTCAAGAGAAACTCTGATTCTATGCGCTGGCATTTTAGGAAACGTAGTGCTTCTGAGACTGAGTCTGAGTCTGATCCTGAGCCTGAGGGTTCACCTGATTCTGCTGAGAGTCTGCCACCGCCTCAACCGGTTTCGTTTCAGCTGCCGAAGCGGTTGAAGGTGGATAAGAGTGAATGTGGAGGGAGTGGAGTTGGAGATGTGGCGAGAGCGATACTCGGATTCACGGAAGCTTATGAGAAAGCTGAGACTGCTAAACTCAAGCTAATGGTGGAATTGGAAAAGGAGAGGATGAAATTCGCAAAAGAGATGGAAATGCAGAGAATGCAGTTCTTGAAAACTCAGTTGGAGATAACACAGAGCAATCAAGAAGAGGAAGAGAGGAGCAGGCAGCGAGGAGAAAGAAGGATCGTTGATGTTGATGATGATGATGATGATCGCAATGCCAAGATTAACGGCGATGTAAGTAGCTGACGAATTGAACTCACAAAATGTTCCTATGATATTTGCTATCTATGATAAGCTGTCTAGATTGCTTGATTTAGGATTCGATGTTGTTGTTATTACTGCCTTGTGGGATGTGTAAATGTAGTTAAATTATGAGTCTGATCATCATTATGTTGTTGTTGTTGTTATCCGTGTCTTGGCTGAAACATGAAACGTCTTGAAAACCTCTGTAATACTTAGAATCAGAAACAACAAAACTCACGAATTAGAGTGTCTGTGATTCTAAAAAGACTTGAGAGTATTCTTAGTAAGAAACCTGAATTTAGCAGTTTGTGATTAGAATGAGATTAGAGACTACTTAATTGGATTAGTCAGCATCTTTATCCTTAAATTAAAATCTTCTTAAATAAGCCAAAGCTTATAATTAACCTCACTAAAAATATTCAATGCTTTTCTTTCTCTTTTCTCCCCTCTATAAAAAACCATTTTCATGGCCGAAGAAAAAGAGAAGATAGAGACAATAAAATAAAATAAAAACCCAAATTAATCAATATTATAGATTATATATTTTGGATAAAGTTTGTTGATCGGATGGGGTTCCTACACAAGCTGTGGGATGAAACGGTGGCCGGACCGACGCCGGAAAATGGTCTCGGCAAATTGAGAAAGCATGATTCTTCATCATCATCATCCACCGTCCGATCTTCTCGTCCTTTTCTCTCAAACGATCATGTCACCAGAAGCATCATGGTGACCAAGGGGAATAACAACCTCCGTGGTCTCCGTAAATTGAAAATGGATTCGGAGCGTGTTCCGGGTTCTCCGACCGGGTCATGTAGCAACCCCGGGACGCCTTTAACCCGTAATTTATTTCCTCTCCTCTATCCTCTAAACCTTATAATTATAGTTATATTTTTTTTAAAGGTAAGACTAGTACTCAAATTTGGGTAAAACACATATATTATGGATGCAGCTGGGACACCATGCGATGTTTTGGGGCCATTCGCTGCCGGCAAAATCCCTTCCTCAGGTGAAGACGATGCCGCAAGTCTCACTACTTATGACTGGTTGGTTATTGTCTATCCATCACTTCATCCCTTAATCATAGTCCCTATTATCTTATCTTTATGTGCTCCTTTAATTTATACGATGCTTTGTGTACGAATGCAGGATTGTGATAAACGCGTTGGACCGTTGAACAAAGCCGAGAGAGAAAAACAAATCTTACGGGGTTTTTGTGTAAATATAAGTAACCTATGCATGTAAATTATGTAAATATTTACTGATACGGTCAGTATTCAATTTATGTCTCTTGAAACAAAGTCTCCATTTCTGTTACAGGGTTTTGAATAGAAATATTATTTCAACTCTGCCAAATAAATGTTGTTTAAATCAGGATTTATGCTTCTGTGAACGAAAACGCAAGAGTTCACTTTTGTCTTGAGCGATGAGCCAATGATGAATAACTAGTACTCTTGTTTCTGCAAATTCGAAGATTCTACTAGTACCATTGAACTTTCGAAGATTCTACTTTTACCATTGAACTACTGTATAAAGACAAATTAATGAACGTCAAGTTGAAACCTTAATTACATACTTTGTTGCATAATAAAGGACACTCACCCACAGAACACACTTTGATGATTTCGTTAAATTGAACTTCAGACAAATTACTAATGAGAATGAAACTAGAAAACTTTCGTTAACTGTATATATAACCGAGTAACCGACACATTTGTTTGATTCAAATCTACCATTACAGAACTACTACAATACATCAATAATACAAACAACATAAAATCCCCAAAACTAAATCCCCTTTATTTGATGTCACTTGCTTGGCTTACAATCCAAGTAAGACCCATAGGTTACAAACTGAGCTTAACGCTCTGCATACATAAGTTAAACCAAAGGCTTTAAATAAAAGACACATACATAAAGACTCTTGAACCAGGTCTAGAGTAAAGCAAGAAAATCATAACGTTAAGAAGAAAGAAAGAAAGAAAGGAAAAAAAAAAAGTATCACAGGAGATAGGACCAGAGTTTATTACTGATAGTACATAAGCTGCTGATGTGCCGCAGCTACATTCTGAAACCCACCATCGTACATAGCTGCACTTGCTCCGGCTACATTGACTCCAAGACCTCCTTGTCTTAGAGAATGTTGAGCCTGAGGATGCATCTTGGCCAGAGCCAGTTGCCTTTCATAGGTTAAGAGGTCCATTGCAGAAAGAGAAGGGACTGCGGCCGGGGCTGGTGGGGGAAGTGGGTTTGAGGCTGTGCCTGATGGAGTTGGTTTGCTTCCCCACGAACACTGTAATTTATCACAGAAACAAGGAAATGGGTTCTAACACTTCTACAGAGAAAGTCAACATGATGAAACAACAGTTAGATCATAACTAGAGTTAGTACCTTTATCTGTCTGCTAAAGAGGAAAGGCTGAGCGTTGCCCATCTGAATAGCAAGAGCAGCTTCGTCATGAGTGTTATATCTAACAAAACCAAACCCTTTGTCTCGCTGGACACGGACCTCTTCAATCACTCCAACGCCAAGTGCATAAAATAGACGGTGTAGATCAAGCTGAGTTACCTGCAAGATTGACAACTGTCAGGAGGTGCCCCAAAAAAACACTAGTGCTGTCTCTGTGTTATGTAATGAGCAATTCGTTAAGTTGATAACTTACTTCTGGCGAGAGGTTTCCTACATAGACAGTTGTATATTGAGGATTGTTTTCAGGGGCATCTTCGTTTGAGAGCTCTCTACCATCCTCTGCATAATCAAGTGTTAAATCAATGTAATCTTCAAGAAACTTTGCTTTAAGGAAGGGTGTGAAAAATTTATTAGTTTCAGTCATCAAAAGAAACCTGAAGAGCCGTTTGTAAGTTCCACAATACTTTTTCCATCAGAGCTATGTTTGTCTTCGCCAAAAGTAGCACCTTTTGTCGCCCAGTTGCATCTGATCTGTCTGCTACTTATCCATTTACCTGAGATGAAGTAAAACACTCAAAGGTTGTAGAACTGACAAACACAAAGAGCTACATATTAAGATAATAACTCAATTCTAGCAGCAAAGCATGATTGGCACAAGCAACACGTAACTTCAACAGTTGTTCACCAATAAGCTACAAAAAATACACAGAATTCCTAACTAAGTCTTTCCAGCCACAACATTACACAGCTAAATGCATAAATACATTAACATTAACCATAAAAGCTCAAAGAACACAAGCTGCTATATGATAATTCTTACCATTCATCTCATTTATGGCAGTTTGAGCATCCTGCAAAATACATTAACAATGAAAAATCAATGCAAATCCATGTATAAAGCTAAAAACAACAGTCACCATGGTTTAAAGAATACAAAACCTGCTGATTACGGAAGGAAACAAACCCAAAGCCTCTTGAGCGTCCAGTTTTCTGGTCCCACATTACTCTTGCGTCCCTAAATAAGAATTGTAGATATTAGACAAATAAGCTTAATCAATAAAAAAAATCTTGTAATCCAATAGTGATAAATACGTACAACTTAGTTGTGTAACTAGATTTTTTTTAAACTAACTAGTAACTGAAATCAGAACAACAGGCACAAGAACTTACGAGCAGGTATTAAAGACAGAAAAGCTCTCAAACAATGCTGCATCAGTAACCTCTGGACTGAGATCTCCAACAAAAATGTTGAAATGACCTGTGCATTTCATGGAATCAAAACCATTCAACATCACGCCTCACTCAAAGAGCAAGTGAACAAAATGCAACTCCTTGATTATCAATCCTTGTTAATCATAACTTACTTGATGTATCCTCTCTCTGACCGGTGGCATACGCCCAATTAACTTTCATAGGCTGTCCAAATCTGTGAAATCAAGTATTATATTCTAAGAGAACAAATGAGAATAGATTGAATAAAAATGAGCATAAACTACCAATGTCAGATGCTTACATATGCCTTCCGTTAAGAGTCATTATAGCCATACCAGCAGATCGACGATCAAAGTAGTGAACAAATCCATATGATGACTGTGAAGTGTGAAACATTTCTAGAAGTTAGCTCGAGTAAGTTTTTTTGGAAAACAATACTGAGAAGTTGCAGTGGAATAAAAAAAACAAAGGGCAGATTTCAAAACGCCACCTTATCCTTTCTAATGAGTTTACAGCTTTCAATAGGACCAGTACTTGCAAAAATCTCTTGAAGAAGAACCTCAGTGACCTGTGTATGAATGTTGCCAGCATACCTGCAATATCAGAAAACGGTTCACTGGTTAAAACTCTGCAGTTCACAGTAATGTTTGGTTCCAATATAAGAAAAGGCAAAAATAGGATCACTGAAATCAAAACACTCACACACTACGGCAAGTACTGGGATCAAAACCAGGAGGAAGGTTTCCACTTGGTAAAGGCTCCATCTGCAACAAACGAATAAGCATTAAAGAGATGACTGTAAAACAGGTAGCAAAAACACTCCTTTTCGATGATGAAAAATCTACCATCACCAGCAAAAAAATTGAACACAAGAGATACAAATTAGCAAATAAATCGAATTACTAACACGAAACCTTAGCCCACAAATCAAAAGCTCAAAACTTTACATCACAATCAGCCACAGAAGAGAGACATAGATTCATACAACGAGGTTGCAGAATACAGTGATTTAAAACCCACGAATCGGAATTACAAAAGCCTGTTTCAGGAACCAAATACATCGAAGATGAATTGAATAAATAAGATCAATAAAAAAAAGAAACCTGAGGGGGAGGCATAACACCAGGATGATAAAGAGAAGGATGTTGTTGATGCATCATAGCTTGCTGAATCATAGCTGCTTGTTGTTGTTGTTGATGCTGCAGCTTCATCCTTTGATTCTGCATTTTTTTTTTCTCTTTTCCCTTCTCTCACTCCGATAAAATATCTGTTTCTTTCCCCGAGGAAAGTTTTGATTTTTTTTCCCCTTAAGCTAGGGTTCAAAATCAAGTAAGAAAAAGAAGAAGAAAGAACAAAAAAAAAAAAGGAAAAAAAAAAAAGGAAAAAAAAAGGGAAAAAAGAAAATAAATTAAAGAAGAAAGAGAAAAGATGATTGCACGCTCTCTCTCTCTCTCTCTCTAAAGGGAGTAAAGAAAGGCCGTACGAAACAAGTGACCATTTATAGGAGTATGACGGTTTCTTCGAGAGACAAGACAGAGTTACTTCTAATCTCACGCTGCTGTGAGACTATTCGTTCCCGTGACTGACCAATCATTGTTCTTAGTCCGCAATAGCTGCTAATGGACCAGCTCAAGGCCCAAACTGACTTACTTATACAGTTACGTGGCAGACTAGTGCCAGTCACTAGCTTTTAACGGCCCAAGCCCAAAGTCTCAAAACTGACTAAAATTTTAATTTTGCCTGTAAGACACAAACTGAATTGTTCAATTGTTAACCAAAAACGACAAAGATGTCAGTCAAACCAGTCGATACTTATAATTACTTTTTTTGTATGCTGGGTGATTAGTTAATAACTAAATGTGTTAATCTTCTTACAAAGTTCATTGTTCGTTTATCCTTTATGTTTGTTCTTTTTTTTGCATGTCGGCAGAGAATACTTTTAACGTTTATTGCAAAAGACAAAAGTCTAGTAATTTTAGATTTTGTTTAAAATAATAAGATTTATCAATTATCCATAGTGACAGCAATGATGATTACATTACACAACTGCTATTATTAGAGAGATCTACTTTTTTTTGAAGTGATAGTAAAATTAAATTCGCCGGAGTTTTCTGTATCTCCGGTAACTTCACGCCGCCGGCGAGTCTCATAAATAAATTTTATTATTTTCCTTCAGATATAAACAAAAATAAAAACACAACCCACGAGCTGTGCGTTGAAAAGTCAGTCTATTGACTCTTTTCCCAAAACAACCAAAAAAAAAACGAATTTTGATTTTTTTTAAAAAATCAGAAACCAAACATATTTCTCACTGTAATCTTCTCATTCATCACCTAAATCTCATTTCAAAAGAGGAAAAAAAAAAGACCTAAATCGATCGGAGAAGTCAAACAGCAATCAGTTTCCGATTATGGCAACACTTGATGAGAATCAAGGCGATGGTTCCGATTTGGAGACGGCGGAGAAGATAATACTCCGGTGGGATTCAACAACATCTGAAGAAGCTAAAGAGAATCTTATTTTCCAAAGCGGTGATCGTGAAGAAGTAGATCGGTACTTACGAGCCGTGGACGAAGTTCAAAGACACATCTCTTCCGTCTCAATCTCCGATGAAGTCAAAGCAGCTAGCTCGACGATCCAAATCGCCATGGCTAGGCTCGAAGACGAGCTTAGAAGCATCTTAATCTCTCAGACTTCTACTTTCGAACCTGATTCACTTCTTCTTGATTCGTCCTTAGCTTCTACTTCCTCTTTCGCTTCTTCTTCTCGTACTGAGTTTGAAGATGACAACAGCCTCACTGCTGCTTGTGATGGTAATAACGAAGATGATGAGCAACAACAGGTGGATCTGGTTCTACCGGACGGTTCGGATTCCGGTTCGAGCCGGTTATCGAGGAGCAGGAGAAGCAATAGCAAATCCACAAGCAGTATACGCGAGATCGATCTTGTATCTCCTGAAGCTGTTTCTGATCTGAGATCGATCGCTCAGAGGATGATCGGAGCTGGTTACTCTCGCGAGTGTGTTCAGGTATACGGAAACGTTAGGAAATCCGCCATGGAAACGATTTTTAAGCAGCTAGGGATTGTGAAATTAGGGATTGGAGATGTGCAGAGACTTGATTGGGAAGCCGTTGAAGTGAAGATCAGAAGATGGATCCGTGCGGCTAAGGTTTGCGTTAGAGTTGTGTTCGCTAGCGAGAAGAGACTCTGTGAGCAGATATTTGAAGGCACCATGGAAGAGACTTGTTTCATGGAGATTGTCAAAGGCTCTGCTTTGCAGCTTTTCAATTTCCCTGAAGCTATAAGCATTAGTAGAAGATCACCTGAGAAGCTTTTCAAGATTCTTGATTTACATGATGCTTTAACTGATTTGTTGCCTGATATGGAAGAGATTTTCGATTCGAGCTCGTCTGAATCGATTCTTGTTCAAGCTACAGAGATTCAATCAAGATTAGCTGAAGCAGCAAGAGGTATACTCACTGAGTTTGAGAATGCGGTTTTTCGTGAGCCTTCGGTAGTTCCTGTCCCTGGAGGAACTATACATCCATTGACAAGGTATGTGATGAACTACCTCAACTTGATCTCTGACTATAAGGAAACGTTGGTTGATCTCATCATGACCAAACCATGCCGAGGTTTGAAATGTACCAATGATCCGAACAATCCCGATATGGATATCTCTCAGCTAGAAGGAATGTCGCCGTTGGCTTTGCATATGATATGGACTATGGTGATGCTACAGTTCAATCTAGAAGAGAAGTCTCTGCACTACAAAGACGAACCTTTGTCCCACATCTTCGTCATGAACAATGTCCATTACATAGTTCAGAAGGTCAAAAGCTCCCCGGAGCTAATGGAGTTGATTGGGGACAAGTATTTAAGAAAGCTTACAGGGATATTTAGACATGCAGCCACCAAGTATCAGAGAGCTACTTGGGTTAGAGTTCTGAATAGCTTGAGAGATGAAGGGTTACATGTGAGCGGAAGCTTCTCTTCGGGTGTATCGAAAAGTGCTTTAAGAGAGAGGTTCAAAGCTTTCAATACAATGTTCGAAGAGGTTCACAGGATTCAGTCGACCTGGTCAGTTCCAGATACTCAGCTAAGAGAAGAACTCAGGATATCACTATCAGAGCATCTTATCCCGGCTTATAGATCCTTTCTTGGAAGATTCAGGGGGCATATAGAGAGTGGAAGACATCCGGAGAACTACTTGAAATACTCTGTTGAAAACCTTGAAACCGCTGTGTTAGATTTCTTCGAAGGATATACTACAGCTCCACATTTGAGACGGTCTCAGTGAAAGACGACGAAGAAGAAGAAGAAGATTGAAAAACCCATAAAAGCTTTCGTTTTTGGTTTCCCACAGTAGAATTAGCCATATAAACCATTCTTTGAATTCTTTCCATTTTCATGTGGCAGTGTTCAGATTGTTCTCCAGCTTCTGGTGAATAGTCTCTCTCACTCTTTTGTACTTGTAAGCATAATTATTTGTTGTGTGTTGTTTGTTTGTTGCCAAATTTCAATACTCCACTGTTGATATAAATGTTTGATTTTTTTTTTGTATTTTGTGACTTTTGGTGTACTAGTTCCTTCATAAATGCAGTTTGATTTCTTCTATGATAATCATAGATCATGGGAGTAGCAGCAGAAACTTGAATCTTAGTTACAAAAAGGAACATCTCTTGTAAGAAGATGGGACGACAGAGACCACCACCAAACTATGGAGGAGCATAGGCACAGAACATGGGAGGAGGTCCACCAGATGCAAGATGGTCAGGTAACAACAACAACTAACAGCAGTAGAGTGATGGGTATGCAACAGTAGTCACAGTACCACCATACTCCTGATTCATCTTCTGAATGCAGCATGGATTTACTAAAACATATCTCACACAACTGATCAGTCTTTTCTTTTTTTTGTCTTTGTTTGGTTTCTTCTGGGTCAAGTGAGTCTAACTTGTGGTCTCTAATCTAAATGACCTCTCACGTCTTGATCTCTAATCTAAGTTGGTTTCTTCAACTAGACCTTGTTAGTGATTATCCTCTCCAACAAGGCAGGCCATTGTTGTGTTGGGAACAAAATAGAGAAGTTTCGAGCTGAGGTTTCTTGCACGCTTTAACCATTCGTACACGTGGCTATTCCCCATTTGTTCATATTCGTAATTTCTCGATTTTACGAGTGACTGGGTGTGTCTAATTCTATACAGCCTGTCCATATTATTTGTGAGGTGTCTTCCCGTTCGGACCAAGTATAATAGCAACAGACAAAGTTTAGTATTTTTGGGGTTTGAAAAATAGATAAACTTTATATACGTAGATGTATTAATATGTTATGCACAGTATCTAAAGTTTTAAGTTTGCTGTTTAAAACATTTGCTGCTAATCAAATAAAATAGTAACAGGCTTAGCTGGCGATGACAAAAATATTACTGGCATGACTGGTAATTTTCTAATTAGTGGCAGCGATTAATTGGCTTTTAACACATGCTTACGTGGATTATTAACTACCAAATCAATATTGTCTTATTTTTTTCTCCTTTTGGTCATTAATGTTTTAATTAATCTATACTATTAAAGCTGAAATACACAATGAATTTACACTATAGTTTCAAAATAAAATAATTATCATTTCTAACTGGGTTAACACGCGGATCTAACTAACTAAACGGATATGTTAATCGGGTTTAGAGATTTAATCTCCATCGTTCATTTTTCATTTGATAAAAAAAAAAATTGGTTTTCAATATTAAAGGAAAGATAATTATTACGTTTGATATTTAACTTTATTTGTAAGATACAATGCCTAAAATTTAGCTTAATTGGCAAGATTTTCTTAATTTCAAATATTTTATAAAGATCTTGATCGAAATTTTAAACATTGAGTATTTTAATATTTGTTTTAATAGAAACCATTCCATGTTTTCTTATTATGGAATATTCAATGTAGTTGACTTTTTAAACTATTTTAATTTTTAACTTGACCAACCAAATCAATCTATATTAACATTTTTAAATACATTTGATAATATAACTTTTTATTTGTAAGGATTTTATAAATAAACTTTTGTCATTTCATTATATATTAAAAATTGAAGAAT